CACCACGCAGCCGTTCGCTGGAATTCAGGCGTCGTCCGTCGGCCGTTCGCACTAGTCGTTCGCTAGTGTCTTGGTTGGTCCCTCGGAGCGTCACGCACTAGCGAAACAGCAGCAAGCACAAGAGTCACGATGTTATCGCATTAACACCTCTAAGTGGCCTCCGTCGTCCTAGCGTTGCCTCAGTTGTGGTTAGAAGCCGTGAATGACGTCTTGGCCCTGATGATGGGCCATGGCAGGTCGTGTGGTCGTACGAAGTAGATGGGTTAAAAAAACTTGAGCGACACGGCGGGAGGCGTTTTGCCAGGGTTGAATTGGAACGCAAAAGACGTTGCGTCCGAATCTGCAAACCCATGTGCCATATCCTGCGATCGCCCTATAACCCCGTCTTCTCGTCTGCGTGTATCCGTCGTCGTTGTGTGGCATCAGCGAATCAGGCCGGGCGAGATCGGAAAAGGTTGCGTTGCACAACATGCGACGCTACTGAGTGAAAGAGTAAAGAGCAGCAACACCTGCCCTAAATAGAAAGAGAAGCGTACCTGCGTTGACGCAGAGTAATGGCAGCTCGTTGGCAAATCGATAAGATCTCCAAAGCCAGCAGTACTTATCAAGTCACTTTGTAGCTGCGTTGTATTTGGTCTAAGAGAACACGGTTTGAGTATATAAACGATTTCTTCATCTACAAGGCATCAAGCGCAGAACCACCACGCTCTCTACACGCATACCTCCCGAGGGAATTATACTAAGTACCTACTTACTTAGAGGCAGCACCATGGAGTCGGCGGGGGTAAAATGGCACGATTGACCTTCTGGCCTATAATCATCGATAACTTAACAAGCAGCGGATACAGGGACAAGGAACCAACGAGGCATCCCGAAAAAAAACAAATCTGAGGGTTTGGGGGTTCTTTGAAGAGCAAATCCCGAGATTATCTGTCTTCCTGCGCGTCCCCCACTACTTGTTATTCTCTACCACACGGAGTACTTCCCCATCTCAAGCATACAAGTGAGGTGGGCAATTGTCACGTGTAGCAAATCTATCTCCGTCTTGAGGATAGCATTCTCCTCCTCTGCAGTGTGTAAGGCTTCTATCTCCGTCTTGAGGATAGCATTCTCCTCCTCTGCAGTGTGCAAGGCTTCTATCTCTGTCTTGAGGATAGGACGGCATTCTCCTCTGCAGTGTGTAAGGCTTCGATCTAGAGAAGCATTCACGGCATCTCATTTAATCTCTAAGAGGTACCTAACCTGGGCCCCCTGATACGTGTATCTAGATGGAGGTGGGTAGATAAGCCATACAGACACAAGCAGGAATCAGAATCCGAGGTCGGTTGGAGGTTTCGGGTCGAGTGAGAAGGATGTGCAATGCACTTGCGCAGGGCATCGAGACCCGTTACCCGCTTTCCTTCAATGTCGCCGCCGTCGCGATCGCGATCGTGGCGAGATGAACGAGATTGGATACGCACGAATCTGATGATTTCTCTGAGACGATAGATCCCTAGACTGCCTACAGCGGCGCATCGCTTGGAGCGTCTGTCGAGTGAGAGGGCCTGAGGGTCGCTAATCTTGATGTCATCTAACCCGATATCTAACCCAGAAGGGTGCGCTACTCCGACGTGGTCGGGTAGATCTTCACCGGCGCCCTGAGAGAGAGGCGAAGGCGTAGCGAATGACTATGCTGGAATCATTTCTCGAATGAAAGCCTCATGCAGCTCCAACATGCCCTCCTAGATCAGCAGCACACGACATTAGGTCAGTCTAGACGCCGGCTAAAGACAGCCTACAGGGAGATGTTAGAAATGCTCACCTACACACGGTACCACTCCCCGCATCCAACACTGAAAAGTATTACCCCAGAATCCTGGATCTCATAGCGCCATCTTAACAGTCGTCCATTCGCAAGATGAGGACAAACTATATCCACCTCTCCAACGGCTGGCCATCGGTGTTTGCTTCGCTTCGAGTGGCCGGGTCGGGCCGGATTTTATCTGGCCCAGCGTTGTTGACATGACCAATGGCATCGTTGTTTTTGATGATGCTACTGGAGGTCGCGGTCGCCTCGTCGCTCTCTGGAGGGTCCTGGCTCCGGACTTCCGTCTGCGATCTGAGCCGTGTCATCCGCGTCGCTGCTCCGCCCATCACCCTCCGCCCCGTGTTGCCCATAAACTCGTCGCGGTGAACGCGCAGGAGCTTGGGGAACCACGCCCGAAGCAATGGTCGCAGCGCCGGTGCCGAGGCCGTGACGAGCGCGAGGTTCGTTTCGATGGCGGACGTGACGAAGCCGACCTCGGCGTCCGTGCTCAGGCTCAGCTTGCGCTCGAACAACCCCTGGATGAGGAGATAAAGGCGGACAATGCTCGCGGCGGTCGTGCTAATTTGCGGGCGGGATCAGCCATTCTTCTCCCGGCGAGGATTCCGTCGCGGTCGATTAGGTGGGTACTTACAAGAAACCCAGCAGGAAGACGAGCATCAAGGCGATCTTTGAGCGCCTGGGTATTCTAAGACCGATGAAGATACTCAGCGGCACCGCGAGTATGAGTATATCGGTGAAGATGTTGAACGAGGACAGCGTCGTGAACAGGATCTTCCTATCTATGCACACACCCGCCAGGCTAGGTTGCCAGGTCTTCTGGATTGGGATGCACTGCACCACGGTGGCGAGGAGGACGGCGATCATCATCCCGATGTTGGCCGCGTTCATGTAGACGATGAAACGCTTCACGCCGGGCTTTTGCCAGAACAGACGAAGGAGGAGGAGCAGTATCGAAGTCTTCGCCAGTGCCAGGATTGGATTGTACAGGATTGCCACGGCGTAATTCCATATCAGACCGGGTAAGGGATCGTGAGGCGGGATGTCCTGCCACCTGATGCCTATGAAGTTCGTCTTGATGACTTTGAACAGGTCAGCACACGCGCCCAGCACTGCGCCGTCGCAATAATCGGAGACGAACACAAATAGGTGACTACTGTTTCCAGTATTGACAGTATCTATTGACCACACCGTGTCAGTTGATGAACTTCGCGAGTGGTCACAAGTCGTCTGACGAACCATAGCTATGCATACTAGCAGGTCATCTTTTCTAGTGTCAGCTACCTTTCTCGAACACAGGGTCCATCCGCTCCTTACCCAATCCTAATTGACGAGACGATAGCCTCCCCGCTAGTCTGGTACAGACGACCACAAGGGCGAGGGCCGCGAAGGCTATTGTGGTGAAGATGGCGACGTTCTGTAGGGGGCTTGAGTAGTGGAATGGATCTGTAGATGGCGCAGCCGCCTCAGTGATGTTCTCAGCAGCAAGGAACTTACCACTCGCTGCTAATGGAGCCATATTGAGAGATTCTGCCTGGGGCGTAGAGCGTGCTTATGGTACTAACTAAGCTTGCGGATTGTTGGGAGGGTGGGGGGGGCCTGAATTTCTTCGGCCGCGAATTCACAACGGGGGGACGGGTCCCCAGATATAATCGCCCAGTTTCCCCGGAAGCGAGAGAAAGAGATTACGGGTTACGAGCCGGCTGGGGATGATCTACGTCTGGCGTTGGACCAGATGACTTGTGCTGCGGACGGCATTGGGAAGCACGAACGGATAGAGCAGCTTTGGTGTGTCGAATGGATAGCACCAAGTCCCGCATGACCGGGCCCGGGTGATACTATAACAAACCCTCGGCTCTGCTTGTCGATCCCGGGGGAGTTGCTCTTGGACATCCATACCAGATGAGCCATCCTTGCTGGGCAATGGGAGGCACTCATATCCCCCAGTGCGCACCACAACGGGTGACAGCTGGGGAAAAGGGGGAGCACGGCTTGCCATTGACATTTCACGGCCAAGCCAGCTGTGCTTCGTGTTGAGAACACAGACAGCCGGCTTTTGTGCTATCCATATGGTCCCAGTCGGGAGAAGTCCACGCCGGCTTTGCTGTGTGTTCTTAGCTGGGCTGGTCTTATCAGATAAGCTGTTGAACCTGAGATGAGATCATCATTGTTTGTATCGCGATGAGGGTACCGGTGCAACAGAGGAGCAGTCCGGACTGGATGGGAAAGATGAAAGGCCTGCCTGTGGTGCTACTGGTAGAGACCAGACGACATAAACCAGTAGACTGGACCTAGACAGTATTCATACAAGAATACCAAGCTTGGTGGAGGCACGGTGCTCTATGAGATAGATATGTTTGGAGCTATGCGTGACTGTGACTGAGCTTTGACCTGCCCCTTATTGTCGACTTGGGGATGACAAGAAATCTTGAGGTGTGGCTACACGCAGTTCAACAGCCGAGAAAAGACCAGTCTAGACAGCCGCGTGCCGCGGACGCGGGTAGAGCTGAGAGCCAGGAAAGCTCCGTCCTCCTCGGTGCGCAAGCGAGCAGACCACATCAGGGGCAGGCAGAGAGCGTAGATACGGAATACGGGATACAGCGGAGCTGGGTCATCGTCAACGAATCCAATCAATCCAATCAGGTAGCACGGTTATGCTAGCGAATGAAGAGTGACACAATTAAAAAAAAAATCCGACGCTGGTAAACCAACTCACAGATGGGGAGCAGACTGTGTAACTCCTGATGAAGGGATAGAAATCGGTTCCACGACTACATCATCATCATCACCCACCCCCTCAACGAAGTCAACAACACATCTCCTTTGCGAGGAAGGCGTAACGTATCTACGGCCTCGAACGACATATCAAACCTTGGCTAAGCTCATTATCTACATCGGCAGGGTTGGTTACATCTCTCTGTGCTAGGTTGCTGTTCTGTCTAGATACCGGAACTGGGCTATGGCCGCAGTCTCAAGGAAATCAACATCCTTATCTGTGGTACCTACACAGGCAGCATGCTTCTGGGGCAACCCATGTGAGATCGAATCTCGCTCTTGTCAACTTCATTCCGTGTTGTATAAATACTGTACCTTTTTTCATTCGACTTCGGTCGTGGGTTAATTGTTCTCCTGGGCTGTGTGGAACCGACAGTGAGGTGAGGTCATATCGCCAGAACAAGGATGTTCTTGGACATATGGTGAGATGGCCGAGTGGTTATGGCGCTGCGTTCAGGAATTTTCTGTGGTCGTTTCTCGATTCAGAATTGTTAACGCTGAGCAAATTTCGCAGTGGAGCAATCCGCGTGGGTTCGAGTCCCACTCTCATCATTCTATTTTTGTTGTAGTCTCGATCTTTCTTATGGAAAGAGAAGCAGAAAATTTATTTTTTTCTTTCTTCATGTTCTGTTCACTCATTGGAGAATTGAAAACAGGTGTACGCTGGTTAAACACTTGAAGGTTACTTTTAATCTCGGCCTCCACCATATATTTTCCTACGTACTAGGTTCATGGCCCCGACTTGCAGCTGCCCCTATCTGGGAACACTCCAGGTAGGTACCTTGGTACCTCCTACATTGAGCTATTCCACCCCCTGGTACATGTACAATTTCGAGGCTGCAGCTCAACCAATACCTTAGCAATACAAATGCTCCCATCCGAGATAACACCACGACACACCTTCCCAGGGACGAGCCGACCCCCTTCGCCCCGACGATGGCCACACCCGACACATCGACGCTGACGAGCTCAGCACAGGTCTTCACGACGTACACGCTACCGCAGATCCGCGCCGTCCACAAGACGCTCCACGTCCAGATCGACGAGAAATCAGCTCGACTGCGCACGCAGGTCGGCAACAGCTACCGCCAGCTGCTCGGCACCGCCGACACCATCGTCCAGATGCGCGCGGACATACAGTCGGCGCAGCAGGTGCTGGGCCACATGGGCGGCCGGTGCGGCCGCGCCGTCATCGACAGCAAGGTCGCCGGCCTGGGCCGGTTCCGCGGCGACGAGGACGCCGACGCGGCACTGGGCCAGGCCGCGCGCGTCAGGCTGCTGAGGGCCTGCGGGCTCGCGGTCAGCCGTCTGCTCAAGGCTAGCACGAGCAAGGATGCCGAAGGAGGAGGCCGAGGCGATCGTCTGGTCCTGGCCGCGAAAGTCTTCGTGCTCAGCCGGCTGCTCGTGTCTAGCTTTGGAAACCTGACGGCGCTGGACGAGGAGATCAGGAGCGCGGTCGAGGCTGCGAAGAAGAGCTTGGATGGACTGAGGAGGAAGCTGGTGCGCGCCGTCGAGAAGGTGCTGCAGAAGATTGGGGAGGGCACGGACATAACCGATATACTCAAGGCCTTGTCCGCGTATAGCCTGTCCTCGAGCTCCGGAACGAGGGACGTCTTGCGGCGGTTCCTAGCCATACGGGCCGAGGCGGTCATGTATGAGTTCGACCATGAGGAGCACGAGAAGGACAGGGGGGTGGATAACGTATTTAAAGGTCTACGGCTGTACACCAGGACCTTGGTGGACGTACAGGCATTGGTCCCGAACAAGCTACCGGAAGCACTCCTCGAGCTCAAGAAGAAACCGCTCCTGGCGGATGAATCACTGCGATCTTTGGAGGGTCTGAGGCTGGACGTATTTGAGAGATGGTGCAGCGACGAGATCCGGTACTTCACGCCTTTCATAAGGCACGACGATCTGGACGGCAAACAGGCTAGGGAAATGCTCACCAGCTGGGTGACGAAGGGCGAAGAAGCCGTTCTCGGCGGCCTGGGCAAGACGCTTGAGCACATGTCCGAATTTAAAGCTATCGTGGACCTACGCACGGCGACGCTGCAGCAATGGATCAGGGACGGCGGGAAGGCGAGAGGGTTCGACCCGTCAGTCATGCTCGACGGCTTGCGAAAGGCCATCAACGACCACCTCTTGCAACTCGTAGAGAGCAAGGTTGCCAAGCTCAAACTCGTCGGGTCTGAGGTCGCCGCTACTCTTGAGGCGTGGCAATCAGGCGTCACCGATCGTCAACGCGGTATGTGGGATGACGAGATGCTCGGCATGGACTTTTCTGTCGGCGCCGCTCAGGTCACTCATGAGGTTATCGCTCGTGTATATGGGAGGAACGATGCCGTCGCACGAGCTGTCACCGGTTTTGAATCGTGGCATCAGATAATTGGCAACGTCGGGGACATAGTGGAGCAACTCAAGCGACAACGATGGGATAATGATGTGGATGAAATCGAGGACGAAGAGGTCATCGAGGCGAGGCAGGATCTCTTAAGCAAGGATGACCCGCAGTTACTCCATACCCAGCTTAACGAGTCGCTGCGAAAGGCGTTCGGGGGCCTGGACGAGCAGCTTACAGTACTATGGCAAAGCCGAAAGGACGGGTCGGACAGCGGACAAATTGCCATGTATGTCCTTCGGATCCTGAGGGATATTCGAGGTCGCCTACCTGAGCTCGAGGGTATCAAGTCTTTCGGACTAGACAACGTCCCTTCGCTACACGAAAAACTTGCGGCTACTGTGTCTGCATCGCCATTGGAGGAATTCACCCTGACAGCGTTGACGCAGAAACGTGTGGCTGGTCGAGCATTGTGGGAGGGCGAGCCGGCCTTGCCTACCCAACCCTCCCCTAGCACGTTCAAGCTCCTACGGAATCTCACGATGTCCATGGGGAACTCCGGGGTGGACCTCTGGACCCCGGCCGCTGTCAAGACCCTCAAGCACGTCTTTAGCCAGCAGCTCGTAGATGTTTGGCGCAAAGAGCTCGCCACACCTGATCCCGATCCTGATGAGGCTGAGTCTGAACCCAAGACGGATGGGGGTGAGGATGGCGAGCCATCAACAGATCCTGATGACGAAGCCAACGCAGGGGAAGCCGAGAGGACCCCCGAACGTAACAAAGACGTCCTTGTTCAGTGGGTGTTCGACGTCTACCTGCTGCAGCATTATCTCAGCGTCGGCAATGGCGAGTCAGACACAGCAATGAAGAGTCTCGCTTCGGGAATATTAGAAAAGACAGACCTCGACACTGAGGCGGAGCAGCGCCTCGCGACGGCGTCGCTGGAGTACTGGAAGAGGACCAGTCTGCTGTTCGGTTTGCTGGCGTGATTGATAGATATATACCCCTGTAGTCATATGAAATTTACTGTGAGAAGTTACGTATAGCTAGCTAGCATATTGGATAGCCCACGCAGTACAAAAAGTGTTAGACAATCCTCATCTCCCAAGTCTACGCAGATAGATAGATCTAGCACAGACAGACGACGCTCGTCATGCAAAATGCATATATATATATGCGTGCCCAGCCACGTATCCGTCCCTTCGTCCGTCCCTCTGTCCCTCCCTTTTCACCGCTTGCTGCTCGCTCTGATGATTCCATCAACCCCGACGACCCCGGGACGTCCGAACATCTCATCTCATTCACAGCTTATGCCTCTTCTGCCCCGAGGCGATCTTCTGGAACTCCCTCTGCGGGATCCCCGAGACGAAACGGTCGAGGCCAGCGAAGACCTCGGCGACGTTCTGCCTGTCGAGGACCTCGCGCTCGGGGGCCCTGATGAGGGCCTTGATGCCGAGCAGCGAGCCGCCGTCGAGGTGCCCGCCGAGCCTGTCGTCGACCTCGGCGAGGACCCGGCGCAGGAAGGTGGCGTCGTCGCCCTTGTCGCAGGGGATGATCTTGTTGACGTAGCCGGCGGCGACGAGCTCGTCGGCGGTGATGCGCCTGCTCATGATGAGGGCCTCGTTGGCCTTGCTGACGCCGAGGCGCTGGACGAGGGCGCGCGAGGCGCCGCCCTCGGCGACGAGCCCGAGCGACGAGAAGGGCGTCAGCAGGAAGGCGTGCGGCGCCGCGTAGACGAAGTCGGCGAAGGCCGTCAGCGCCGCCGAGAGGCCCACCGCGGGGCCGTTGAGCGCCGCGACCAGGATCTTCGGGTGGCTGTAGAAGGCCCGCGTCAGGTTCAGGTTGCTGGGCACGAACGTGTGCAGCCAGTCCCGGTACGCGTCCGAGGTGCCCTTGGCGCTCCCCACCGAGACGTCGGCGCCGCTGCGGGTGAGGGGGACGTTAGCCGGGCGGTCTCCTGTTTTGAATATACCTGCACATGCAAATATATACTATGCATATGTACACACACACATATATATATGTATATATATAGACGGAGGAAGATCGTGTAAGACTCGGAGACTTACGCGGAGAAATACCGACCCTTCCCGGTCAGGATGGTGATGTAGATGTCGTCCCGCTGGGCAATCTCTCTCATGGCCTTGGCGAGGGCGTAGTATCCCTCCAGATCCAGGGCATTGAGCTTCTTGTCGTTGTCGAGGGTGATGGTGGCTATACGCCTCGCGTAGGAGACCTTGACCGAGCTCGCCATTATCTGTGTGGATAAGTAATAAGTAATAAGTTATGTATATGGATGTAAGTAACGTGTCTTCTGGTTTATTCTGTTATGCCAATTAATTTGATGAAATAAGCCCTATAATTCAACAGCTCAGACAGACAAAGAACGTTAGTTCAATTGCGAGAAAAGACCTCCCTAACGATAGTTAGCCGTATCACCTCGGTAGTAAGTCGTGTGTGTGTGTGTGTGTGTGTGTGTGTTATGAGAGGTACTGTACTAGCTGGGCGCGGCTGAGCCGGGGCTCCACAGAGATATCTACACTAGAATCTATTCCAGTTAAGCCGAGGCCCTTTTCCCCAACATCTGCTATTGGGACCCACTAGGTACCACCTAACCCACCAACCCCACGTGGGAGTGACCTTACCCCCGCGATCCTGTTTGATGCCGTATTAGGCCTCGGGAACTAACTGCAGTGTATAAATATAGCAGAGTTATATGAGTTGCCTTTGGAGAGTTGTTTAATCGTGGTCCAGCAGCACGGCTGCCCTTTCACATACCCCGCATTTGGAAAACGTAATCCTTGCTCGAAATCTTCAAGCCGCGCCGTAATTACTTGCATCAACTCGCTGGCAATAATATGGCGGACAAACTGCTAGCAGGTGCTACCGTGCTCCTCGAACTCTCTTATTTGTCAGTAAGTATGCTAACCATTCAAATTGATCAGCTCCAGAACCCGACCATACCTCAGGCCGTCGCAGACCGACAACCTGTAGGCGACGACATGTCTCTGCGCGACATACGAAGATCGATGAAGAAGGATCCAGACGGACATGGCATAAGTGCGTTGGGCTACGATGGCGTGCTTCGTACTTTTGACAACAAACGGAATGTTCTCGATGCAGTTGGCCTCAACTCGACCCAGATCAGAGAATATTACGATGGTCTACCGATGCCTGAGAGACTTCTCACCGCCGACGGCCGCAATATATCCCG